TCTCCCTTTAATACATCTTCTTGGGGCCGGCGTCATAATTCTCTCCAAATGGAAAATAAAAGTTGGCCGCGGAGAGGAATACAAATGAAACCTTTTTCTTGTTTACACGTCCAGACCGGAAGTTCCTGCGTACTCCATTCGGCCGGGTTTAAAAAGTGCCCGAAGGAAATGGCAAAGAAGAGAAATATATGGGATATTTTTAGAGTTTTTGTCCGGCCCGTTTATGCAAACGTTTCTTGTAACACTGCGAGGCGCTAAAATAGCTTCCTTTGCTCTCCGTTGACTAAAGTGATATTTTAGTATTGATTTTCGTAAACTAAAGTGTTCCTTTTATACAAACATTTTTTTTAGTCCTGCAAGGTGCTAAAATAGTTCTATCTGTATTTCGTTGATTAAAAGTGCTATTTTACTTTTAATTTTCACGGACTAAAGTGATATTTTAGTATTCACTTTCGTAAACTAAAGTGTTCCTGTTTATACAAACATTTTTTTTAGTCCTACATGGTGCTAAATAGTTCTATATGTAATTCGTTGATTAAAAGTGCTATTTTACTTTTAAATTTCACGGACTAAAGTGATATTTTAGTATTCATTTTCGTAAACTAAAGTGTTCCTGTTTATACAAACATTTTTTTAGTCCTACAAGGTGCTAAAATAGTTCTATCTGTATTTCGTTGATTAAAAGTGCTATTTTACTTTTAATTTTCACGGACTAAAGTGATATTTTAGTATTCATTTTCGTAAACTAGTGTTCCTGTTTATAAAAACCTTTCTTTTAGTCCTGCAAGGTGCTAAAATAGTTCTATCTGTATTTCGTTGATTAAAAATGCTATTTTACTTTTAATTTTCACGGACTAATGTGATATTTTAGTATTCATTTTCGTAAACTAAAGTGTTCCTGTTTACACAAACATTTTTTTAGTCCTGAAAGGTGCTAAAATAGTTCTATCTGTATTTCGTTGATTAAAAGTGCGATTTTACATTTTGAATTTTCACGGACTAAAGTGATATTTTAGTATTCAATTTTGTAAACTAAAGTGTTCCTGTTTATACAAAAATTTTTTTAGTCCTGCGAGGTGCTAAAATAGTTCTGTCTGTATTTCGTTGATTAAAAGTGCTATTTTACTTTTAATTTTCACGGACTAAAGTGATATTTGAAACCTCAAAAGACTAAACTTGTCTTTAGATCATATATAATTAAATGGGGAAAGTATGTCCTCTTAAATTTTTATTAGTGTCAAGGTCTACCGTGGACCAACAGTTTAGTTTTAATTTTTGCAGACTAAAGTGTTATTTGAATCAAAGAACTAATATTGCAAAGGGTTAAAACAGTTAAAAGGGATATTCTAGAGACTATCTTTAGCTTCACCTTCTATTACAAGACCGAAATAGTTTTAGTACAGTTTAGTTGTAGTATAGTTTAATTTTATATTTGTTATAGAGTACAGTATAGCTCTACTACAACTAAAGTGGTATTTGGAACTTCAATGGACTTAGCTCTTTTAGAAATGTAAAGAAATATATTGTGTTCATTTTTCTATATACCTTCTGGTACTACAAAGGACTAAAATATTTTTCGCTTCAATCTGTAGACTAAAATTGTCACTTTAGTTTAAATTTTCGCGAACTAAAGTGTCATTTGAATACCTAAGGGGCTAAATTTACCTTTAGCTCTTTTAGTAGCAAAGGAAACATGTTTTGATCAGTCCTAGGATGCAAATATTCTTTATACTGGTAGCAGTGGGTGCTAAAGTGCTTTTCTACGCTTCGTGGACTAAAATTTCTAGTTTAGTCTTAATTTTCGCGGTTTAAAGAATTAAATTAAATTAAATTTACTCTTAACATTTACTATTTAGTGTTTATTGTGGTTCTAATTTGTGCCTGTGACAATTTCAAATCACCTTGTTGCACTCATCGGAAGCAGTGCGTCAGATTCGACTGATTTTTTCGATGGGGTGCGAAGTAGCGACATGGGTAATAAAAGCGAGCAATTTCCTCCCAAATAACATACAGAGTTTTTACGGGGCATAAGAAAACAATAACTCTCTGACAAGTCGGCGACGCGAGAACACGGACAAAGGGACGGCCCGCCGGTTGTTTCTCCAGCGTCCTGTGTTACAAAGGCTCCGGATCCCGTTTCATGCTCTTGTTTGTTAAATAAATAAGGCACATCCGAAATACGCGTTTCTTGTCTTCAGATGAAAGCACGCTCGTACCTTGCAGGTCTGTGAAGTGTGTGTGGGAATGAATAAACTTTAGGACATAGAGGAAATATACGGTTCGTAGTAAGCAATGATTGAGTGACTGACCAATTTTTTTAACTGTAACACAAAGTGAAAGTAGATAAAAAAATAAGGGACCCGCGTTTTTTTGCGTTTTGTGTGCGTTTGACTCATAAAAGAATTACATTACATAAAAATTGTTAGGGTCATCAGGAACGACCACTTGGTGACCTTGGATTTGATACTGAAGGTTATTTGGATAAAAATGGAGGTGGTGACACTTCATGGAAAAAGGATGTGTGGTATGATCCATCCTACGGTATTCAGAGGTGTTACCTTCAAAGAACAAGAATTGAACTTGAAATAACCTTGAACATGCCCGTCAAGGTCAAAACCAAAGCCCCCAAGCAACTTTCATAGAAGTCATTTTTCATTTATCTCGCTATCCTGACGCGATACCAATCTGGAAAGTTTGAGAGAGGGCTTTGACCTTCAAATGATCTTGAAAATGGAAAAAAATAAATCAAACACGCTTCCGATGGCAAAATTTCTCGCTCTTTGGGAATCCGAGGTCAAAACTTGTATTACCATAGAAAAAAACAAGAGTTAACCTTGGAATAACCTTGAACATTAATTAACTTCGTCACACATCTATGACGTAGAATCCTACACTAAAGTTTGGCGTTGCATTTTTGTTACACCTCGTATACGTTTATCCGCAATATGAGTCACTGCTGATTGCTGTCCTAAATATGTCGGAAATTTGTGAACAATGCAGCAGGGTATGAACAAAAGTCTATTAATTAAAACGGAGTTGATAAAAGATATGTTAATTTAGACTGGGGTATATTTTGGGCAGCGTTAAGCTACCTTTAAATTGAAAAGGAAGTAAGTACCCATAATTCTCTTGTTATCGCGATTTACTTGCTAAATATTAAGATATCAGTGCGGTAGAATGTAAACATTTTCTGTAAAATGTAAAAAATGAAACGAAAAATACAAGAAAAAGTTTAATAAAATGAATTCCATGCCAAAATTTGAATTTGATTTTTAATTTAATCAACTTAATAGAAATAAAAAATGTTTCTGTCAATTTCGAAGCAGTATTAAAGTCGCCAGACAAAAAGCAAACAGAAAAATACCCAGATATTTTTTTCTACTTTTTCTTTAAATTAAAACAACGTCCGTTTGACCTTACAATTCCCGATTGATTTTACACTCCTTTAGGACAACATTCTCGCGTCAACAAAGGAAACTAGTCGTCTTTAAACAAAGAAATTGAGACGTAAAAAAAGATAAAACACTCGAACTTCGAACTATTTCAATTCCTTTTAAAGTGAAGTGAATTTGTTGCTCTCGATGTTGCTATTTATTCTGGGCCTTCCTTTTCTGAATTGTCTATGCACTTTTGATGATAGGCAATACTATTTACGTGTTCGAACGGGGATAACAGATGTTTGTTTTTGAATTTAAACACAGAAAATGTGAGTTAAATGAAGAGTAGTTTTGAACCAGTTACCATTCACATCAGCGTATTTCTTATTTTAACGCAAACATAGCAAAGAAACTGTTAACTTTTTTTTACATTGTGTTGAAAGAACTGAGCTAATTTATACAAAGTTTTTCATAAATAAAATCGCCAGTAACATATTTATGTTAAAATACGTTACGGAAACTTAAAATATTATATTAATCTTTTAGAAAAAATCACATTTTGCTTTGAAGAAAACAAACAAATAGTGAAAAAATCTAAATGTAATTTTTTTTTAAATATTTTGATAGTAAATACGATCTATTTAATATTATAGCCAATTTTTTCTTTAATTTGCCACCCCTATAAGAAGGTAAAATACTGATAATAATAAATCTTTCGACACTCCTTCAAAATCCAGAAATAAGAAAAAATGCATACAGTCCTCCTATGAATCTCGTTTAATATACGACGCACGTCAAAAATCTTTATATGTTTTTTGTTGCATACGATTCTTCAAAAATTTATTTACACCAGGTGAAAGATATCAATTTTGCCATGAAATTTTATTAAAATAAGTTTTCTCTATCTCTTAAAATAAAACAGTTAGACGGCTCTAAACTTTCGGTACTTTTCCGTTTTTTTTATGATTTCTCATAAAGTTGGCCATGGATCTCAAATTTGTTTTTACGAGCACCAAGGCCTCAACAAATGTAACAAAAAACATACAAAGATTTTTGACGTGCGTCGTGTATTAAGCGAGATACATAGGAGTGGCCCTCTTATAGTAGACAGTTTGTATAGTCTATTGTCCCATATATATATTTTTGTTTGTTTTTCGCGACTAATACAAATAACTTTAGATAACTTTAGATAATTTTTTACTGACAGTACTCCTCAATCGAACTTTATTCGAATCTCGCCCGTCGACCTTTTGTGACAGATAACTGATAACATTTACGATCGTACCAGCTTGATTTTACATAAACGCGCAATTAGTTTCATTAAACAACGACTGCGTAAAATTTAATTACGTGACAGTTTTACCACGTAGACAATTGAACACCTATTGTAAAGTAAAAAGGGCCAATAGACTTATCAGGAATACATCAATCGTGCTATAAATGCGGATTATTCCGGTACTTGCTCTAGCTGTTCAGGTTTTCAAAATATGTAAAAATTAACAAAACCTAATATTTTTACGAATGTTTTAATCCGTACAGAAAATATTTGCAAAGAATTTTACTGCGACCTTAAATCTTTGTTCGAACTTGACACAGCGGTGTCCCCCCCTCCCCCGCACTTACCCCGCTCCAAAAAAACCAACACCGCCGCCAGAACCAGTCCGGGAACCATGTCTCTCTCGCTCTTGGTAAAAAAATACTCCGTATTAGGGACACCGGCACTTCATTCCGACTTCGTCCCCCGGAACGTCAATCCGTCGTCGTGGTAGCGGGCTTTCCCTGCCGCCAGAACCGTTTCGAAGTAACTGTTGCAAAGTGCGCAGGCCGTCCGCCGAGAGCGGCGTCTGTTGAGGGCGTCGGGGCGCGTCGGTACGCCGTCGTCAGCGGGCAGGAGAAGCGTTAGACGGAGTGGCAGCGGATGAGGTAGAGCCCGTGGAGGAAACGGCGCGTCTGCGCGCCGGGCGGCCTCCGGAGTTGCTTTTCTTAACTCATACGGGGCCTCCTGTTACAGTTCTGCTAACTACCACGAAAAAATTGTTCATATTTCACCTGTCTTTCAGGTGCGTCGGGGTAACAGTTAAGAAATAACTAATTTTACAGGGGATTAACACATACACAGAACCAAAGAGCACTTATGGCTTCACCTTCAATTATTCCTCGTTATTATTAATAAGCATTCTTCAACTGGGCGTATACATTTCTACCGCCTCCACATTTAGTTCGACCAGTCCTGTATATGGGTATGGCTAAATAAATTAACATTTAAATGATCAAAATATTACCATCCGATACTCTTAGCTTGCATCGAAAGACTTTCCAGGTCGTCAAACCGATTCCAAACAAACATCATTCCTTCTATTTGTCTTTGGGAAGGTACATACCTTGCTCTCCCTTGTGGAGTTACCATATTCATGAGCAGTCCTCACAGCTACAATTTAGATTATAAACCCGGCTTAGATTACGTTATACGTGGCAACGATGCACCTCGCCCGGCTCTTAATACCAAGCTCACGTGTAAATAGACATGTCAAAGTTAATAATTGTTAGTAATAATATGCATTACTCGGAGGACCGTTTCCAGAGCCGTTCAGAAGGGTCCCGGCAGCGTATTGACGTTACTTACCTGAGTTCCACAGTTGGATACTGAACACGGTGTTTTTGTTCACGCCATGAAGTACTGTCGAAACTGAAAGAACAGAAAGAATAACATCAAGAGAATATCATTCTCGATATTGTTCTTTATCGATAGTTCTTGGAGACGTCCTTGAATTTTGTACCTCCTACTCTGGAACAAAACTATAAAACTGAGAAAATCCACAGCGAACTAAAAAGAGTGTTTTTTGAGCGATAATAGTTCTCGACAACTTCCTTTATCAAAATGTTCCTGATAATTGGTTCTTCCTGTGTCCCATAAAAGTTTGTTCTTTATTACAAACGCATCGATAGGACGTTTGTCCGCAGGTCCTTCAACAGTCCAATGACGATAAAACATCCTTTCAACGTTCAATCACACAAAGAGACCAGAGTTATGGTGAGACAACTCGTGGTTTTTGCGCCAGCACACAGCTTTGTCAATTCGTCAGCTTTGTGTCAAAAATCAGGTTACTGTCCTCCCTCACCCTCCTTACTCACCAGACCTAGCTCCTTGTGTATTTTTCTTATTTGGGAAATGTGTGAATAAGAGAGAGGGGTACTGTGAAAGAAGGAAAATTAATATTAAAATTTAAAAAATAAAGTTCGGTTGTCTGCCTTTTTTTCGTAGATCTCTCCCGAATTCGACACTTCGCTTCGACACGCCCATTTCTTGGGTCCACGATTTGGCATAACTATGCCATGTTAATAATTACTTAATTGACTGGACTTACATTTATATAAATAATTCTGTGACTAGGCTTACAAACAACTCTATACCTTCCTCTTGTGACTCCGCATAGCAATACGGGAATACGGGACGAATTAACCAATCTCATTTAGTATATTCTTAATAGCTTGGAAAATCCGCCTAAAAACCAGCTATTTGATCTACTTTCCTTTTTTTATTATCAATTTAACAATTTGATTTAATTCTAATTTGGAACCTCTACACACTTCTCGTGATTTCGCGCGTTATTAAAAAATATGGGTTCCTTTGTTCTGTCCCAGCATAGGACGCTACAGATGACGATGGAACTCGGGCGCTACAGATGACTGGCACATGGCCCCGACTCTAAGTGAACTTGTTCAAAAAATATTGTTAAATCTCTCCGAAGGACGACGCTAAACGTACTTGAGAGCCCTTAACTTTCGATAATTTGTGTTGACTGAAATATTTTACATTTTGACCCATCCGTTCCGAGAACTAACAAATAAATTACTACGCATCCCGGCTTTTGTTACATCTGGAACAAAACTGATACGTTGAAGAATGTTTAACTTCTCCAACAAACTAGTTGCTTTATAAATTTTATCAATAACATAATTTTAAGCAGCAAATTCGGTCTAAACACAGCCATAAACATAATGTAGCTAGCTACCGGAAGAAAAACGACGAAGCAGTAAAACTAGATATTTAATTTTAAAATTTTTGCATCGACTCTGAGAACTCAATAAAAGTTTATAGCTTCCCGGCGCAAAGCTGAACGGGAAATTGGAACGTAGAAGAGTACAGCACGAGACAAGTTTGCGTTGTATGTTTCTTTAATTGCGTCTATTTGTAAGGAGCTTTTGCTCGGACTGTGTCTACTGCCTTTTGCAGCTATGAAATATTTTTGTACGGAAAGGCGCATAGCGCGGTCGACCCAGATTCTATTTTTAGTTCTCCCTTTCTTTCTGTAACACCAGAAATGTAAATATCTCGAAAATAAGGGCCTGGAAATTTGAAAATGGAAATATTGATCAAAAGTTGCTGATTATATTCAAAACATAGGCTATTTTCAGAATTACTTAGAATAGAGTACACTTAGAAATGAATGCCTACAACTTATCTTATTCCAGTTTAAATTGCTTGTCGTAGACCATTCAGCAGCTCTAAGCTACCCCTAAAACGTTACATTGTAAGCTCTCAAAGTAATTATAAACTTGGTTGACCGCTTACTTTACGATTCCCCATTAATGAAACGGAAAATTTTACTGCGGCTCGCATTTCCCTCATCCTAAATCCGAATGTCGCGTGAACAATTACAGAGGGGAAATAATTGAAATTCGAGGGGCTGGGGGACTTACCCTCTCAGAGAAATTAGTTTAACAGCGCTACTACTAGATGTCGTCGTGTACGTCTTCCTGACGTCACTTCAACGGAGTCAAATCCACGTATCTGTGGATTTGGCCAAGTTCCGATTCTGGTCATTAAACTGAATCGAGGGGGACGTTCGAACACACACCAGGCTGGCTCCGCAAAGGTGCTGCAGTGCTGTCCGCGTCCAACTTTTTCTCAATGCTATATTAGGGACAACATCTTGACAAGCTATATGAATATTTGTGCGCAACATTATTTAGTAAATTCGTCAGCGTTTTGAGCATATCAGTACCCTAGATTATATTTTACGTTATACTTTTGCCAGGGCAGTTAAACCGTTCTATCGACGAAACAGTTATCGAGCTCGCTTCGACAACGCTTGAGACCCTCGAAGTGGCCGACCGGATCAGCTCTTTCATAGCTGAAAGATACGGATTACCTCCAGTTTACCCCGAATTCCCGACCGAGGGCAAAAACTTAGCAATTTAAAATCTATGGATATATTTATTATTCCCTGTCACGGTTTTGCAGAGTAAAACGTTTGGAAATGTGTTTATTTCCGAGAAGGGACGGTCGGGACGGCCCTTTGATTTACTGGTGCGGTATTGAAGTGACAGTGGGGTTGTCGGAGCCGGGCCGGAGGCGGCGGCGATTTTTCAGGATTCCTCCCCCGGATTGGAAAAGTAGATACTGGTTTTGGGCTGCGTAATTGCCTCTGTTGGATTAGTTTTTCCATTAGTCTCCTTCCTCTCCCACCTAAGTGTGTTATACTCCAGTCGTACCAACCCCTGCGATTAACGACGTAAAATATTTCAACGTACATGTCGTCAAATTCCGGAAAAGGTCCTTGATTTTAACAGGATTAGATTCCCAACACGAGACTGCCTTAAGAATTTGTAATTACTTTATTTTAATACAATTGAAGAGTAGGTTAAGGCTGTCAGAGAGAGCCGCAATTCAATGGCGTGCCAAGCGGGTCAACCGGGACATGCGTGAGCCGCTGCCTCAGAATGCTTTTTACGTTCACGTTAGTATACTGTTGCCTTGTTATTGTGCAAATGTTGCGTAATTAATTCGTATCCGTTGGTGTTTATGGTGGTGTATTGTAGACAATTACATTTTTGTCTTTAATAAATTATGCGTACGCCTATGTCCTGCGGCTCAGTCCTGACAGCCCTAGCAATAATGGACTAATACGCTTTGTCTGTGAAAAATTATAGCAACAATGACCTAAAAAAACACGAGTTTTTTGAAAGTGAAAAAGGTTAGGTTATTCAGAGAAAGGTCACAGAAGATTTTATCTTCTGTGGAAATGTATTGTTTGACGATGGGTGTGATGCTGTTTTTGCTTGAATTTACGCATCATGTAAGTCTTCCTGACGTCACTTCAGCGAAGACAGATATGTGGATTTAGCCAGATTCCGATTCTGGTCATTAAACTGAATCGGGGGGACGTTCGAACACACACCAGGCAAATAACAATAACTACGTACTGATTAGTTTCTTTCTGCGCTAATTGAAGGTCGTAGAGTTCTTCAGAGGCTTGGGTGAAGTAAACAGCGATAAAATTTGAATTGCTCTCGGGTCGAACGGAATTAAATCGTCTGCGTCGCAGTTGGCTCCGCTCGGGAAACGGGTGGGAATTTTTCAATCGTACCCGGGAATTAAAGAAAAATGGTGATAGAGCGCCTCACTTTCCTGCGGCACATACGCTGGCCGGCAGCGGTGGGATATTAATAAAACTTTTTCGCCGAAATGAAGTTGGCACTGACCGCTGCGACATAAAAGTTTACGGCATCTTGCCGACGCCGGTCCGTCCTCGAACCCATCGGAACAGAAACGTTTATGCCCGACGAAAATATGTTACTGCTCACGCCTAAATTGTTTTACTTGGTAACAATCGAATCAGAGGCGGAAATCAAGCGCGGCGCTCGGTCTCTTACCGAAGTATGTTTGTTTTACCCACCTTTTGATGTCGAAATTTGGCATTGTCTGTTTTAATTCGGTCTGGGACGAGACGGCTGTTTATTTTTTGCTCGGGCAAATATTAGGTATACGCGCAATTAAAATTCGTAATGGGGCGGGAGGAGCCTCTCGTTTTTGTTTTATTGACTGACTCTATCGTGTCTGTTGACTACGGGGCGATTGTTCATTTGTTTGAACGCTTTTTGCTGATGGC